ATAATGTTTGGAGCTAGGTTATAATGCAGTCAGACTACACTGTCTTGTCTGATCATTTTCATAAAAAAAAAAATTAAACTGGGTAGACAGATGGGTTGTTCAGTGGTTAGAGCATGTGTCGCTCTTGCAGAGGACCCAGATTTGTTTCCCAGTTCCCATGAGGTGGCTTAGGAACATCAGTAACTGCAGTTCCATGAGACCTGAGGCCCTCTTTTGGTCTCCATGGGCACCGCACATTTGAGCATGTTACATGTACATACACTCAGGTACAACACTCGGGCATACAAAGTAAAATAAATCTAAAAAAAGAAAAATGTAAAAAATTATGACCGAGAAGTCAGACTTTCCAGTGGTTTTCAGTGGGGCAGTCTCATCAAATATAGGATAATCTAACATAACAGTTTGGGTTTTCTTAGTGACAGGTTTCATTCAGTTTTAAATAAGGTGGTAGAATTTGTGTTGAGGGGTTTTTTGTTTTTTTGTTTGTTTTTTAATTTACCTGTCTTGACTGAGGGCCCTCCATGACCTTCGTTGGAGAGACAGACTCTCAACTTCTCTCATCTTCCAGGCTATAATTCTATACCTTTACAAAAGAGGAGCTTGCCCTAACGATGAATGCAGGTGTCATGCCTTAAAAAATCAGTTCCAACTGGCAGATCTTCCTGCTTCTGTTTTTCTCATTAGTGTTTCTTTTCTTTTTTTTTTTAATTGGATATTTTATTTACATTCAGAAGCTATCCCCTTCCCTCATTTCTCCCTCACACGGAGAAACCTCCATCCCATCCTCCCTCCTCCTGCTTCTATGAGGCTGTGCCCCCACCCACCCACCCACTCCCACCTACCCGCCCTCGAATTCCCCCACACTGGGGCATCCAGCCTTCACTGGACCAAGGACTTCCATTCCCACCTATGCCGGACAAGGCCATCCTCCCCTACATACACAGCTGGAGCCATGGGTCCCTCCCTATGTGCTCTCAGGCTGGTAGTTTAGACCCTGGGAGCTGTGGTTGGTTGGTATTGTTGCTTTCCTCATGGGGCCTAAAACCCTTTCAGCTCCTTCAGTCTTCTCTCTAACTCCTCCATTGGGAACCCCTTGATCAGTTCAATGGTTAGCTGTGAGCATCCTCCTCTGTATATGTCAGACTCTGGCAGACCTCTAAGGAGACAGCTATATCAGGCCCCTGTCAGCATGCACTTCCTGGCATCCACATCAGTGTCTGCCTTTAGTGACTGCACATGGGATGGATACCCAGGTGGAACAGTCTCCAGATGGCTCCTCCTTCAGTTTCTGTCCCATACTTTGTCTCCATATTTGCTCCCACAAGTATTTTGTTACTCCTCCTTCTAAAAAGGACCGAAGTGCCCTCACTTGGTCTTCCTTCTTCATGAGCTATATCTTGGGTATTGTGAGCTTTTGGACTAATATCCAATTAACAGTGAGTTCATACCATGTGTGTTCTTTTTTGATTGGGTTACCTCACAGGATGGTATTTTCCAGCTCCATCCATTTACCTAAGAATTTCTCAAATTCATTGTTTTTAATAGCTGAGTAGTACTCCATTATGTAAATGTACTACATTTTCTGTATCCATTCCTCTGTTGAAGGACATCTGGGTTCTTTCCAGCTTCTGGCTATTATAAATAAGGCTGCTATGAATAAAGTGGAGCATGTGTCCTTGTTACATGTTGGAGCATCTTCTGGGTATATGCCCAGGAGTGGTATAGCTGAGTCCTCAAGTAATGCTATGTCCAGTTTTCTGAGGAACCACCAGACTGATTTCCAGAGTGGTTGTACCAGCTGGAACCAGAGTGGATTCTCCTTATCCCTTGGGAGTATGTTTACAAGAGGCAAATTCCCCCCAAGCAAGAGGCTTAGGATTGAATGCAACCTGACAGGCAAGGTTGGATTCCTTCCTACACATCTTACTTTGGTGATCTTTGGTGTTTTTTTTTTTTTTTTTTCTGTGCGGCAATTTCTGTTACAGTTTTGTTTTTGATTTTGATTTTTTGTTTGTTTTTGAAAGGGAAATATTTGACTATTTTAAACTAAACTGAGATATACTATTTCCCCAAATCTATCCAAAAACAATTGATGAAACATCAATTGTATGTTGGGCATTAAGGGAAAGACCTGGGCTGGAGAGATGGCTCAGTGGTTAAGAGCACTGGCTGCTCTGCTAGAGGTCCTGAGTTCAAATCCCAGCAACCACATGATGGCTCACGACCATCTGTAATGATATCTGATGTCCTCTTTTGGGATGTCTGAAGACAGCTACAGTGTACTAATATATAATAAATAAATAAACCTTTGGGCCGGAGCAAATGGGGCAGGAGTGAGAGGGAGAAGGGAAGGGGAAATAAAAAGTAAGGGGAAGACCCCCTTTTGCTCCTACTGATAGATAACGTGGGGTCCTGTTAACCAATCACCCTGGTTATTGAGGGATGTGTGGAATGGATGCACTGAAGCAGAGCTGGACTTCTCCATAGCATGGGGACACTAAGAATGGAGAGCAGAGTATAACTGACAACGGAAGTGGTGAGGCCCAGGCAGAGGCAAGATTCGAAACTCCAGGGCGTTCCTTGGGTCGCTGGGATCAGCGGCTGTTGAGTTCTCATGCATTTCCACCCCAGAATATCATGGAAGTGACAAGTGGTGAAGAGTGCAGTGCTAGATTCTAATAGAATTGCCATTGGCAACACGACATCTCAACACAGTCCCTCCCCAGGCAAACAATGTAGCTATAAATCATTTACTATATTTGTAATTAAGAAGTCTAGCAGGGAGAGAGGAAAGCCAGGGCACAGTGGCAAACAATAATCATCTGATTTACCGGGGAAGCGCCCACCCAATCAGCGCTGGCTATGCCCCGCCTTCAGGTCCAAGATACTCTAGGTATTTTATGTCAGGCTCTGTTCTGTTGGGAGCAAAGCCAACCACCAGCTGGCCTGGAGAAGTGGCAAGTGATGTGACTTGAGGAGGGGAAACTGACCTACTCAGAGGCTGTGGGGGAAGGATCAGATCACCTGGTTCACCGGCTTGTAACCAAGAACCTGCTCCTGGGCGCAGTATTTCAGCTGAGGGTGACTTCTTTGCTGGTAACCTGTGCCTTCCTTTCCCTTAGATGGTTCTTTATTGCCGCCCATGGAATGCTGAGCCTCTGATAAAGGTGGGCACTGAGTTTCCACATTCTGCGTGGACTATTCCACTGCCTGTTCAAGTACCAGGAACCGTGTGAGGGGGTGGGGGTGGAGAAGACAAAGGAAAGGTCATTAGTGAGCTACCTGCCAAAGCGCTGCCTCAGAAGGAAGCCTTTAGCTGAGGATAGGATTTCCCACTCCGCAGCAGTTTTCCTTTAGGTTGCTCTCTCCGTGAGTTCTTGTTAGAAGTGGGAAGAAGTGGGAACGGTTGTGAAGGGACCAGTGGGTTAAGGGAGAACGGAAGAGGAAAGGGGAAGCACTTGTAAATTGAAGACTCAAGAGGAAGTTCAATTCCTTTCAAAGTCCGTAAGCTGCCTAGGTTACTCCGTGTCTTCTCCCCTCTCTTGTTTTCTTTATCCCAGGCCTCCCCAGGGCCACTTTAAGGGTGCAAAGGGGCTGCTGGGCATCATTTTCCAATCCCACTGACTGCCTTTCACACAGATCTCACCTATAGTATCAATGAGGCTTCCCTTTTTATCTGTTTGGTAAAGTTCGCGTACACTGTGTAACGGACATCACACTCAGATTGAGATGCTTATCACCATTCTAACTGCAATTAGCTCCCCAAGATTTATTTACCTTATAACTAAACACTGGTCCCCAATCCTAGAAACCAGTTTTCTACTCTGCTTCTGAGAGTTTACTTTTTCTAGACTCCACATACCAGTGAGATCACACTGCATTTGTGTTGTGCTGATTTTATAGCAGAATGTTCTCCAGGTTCACCCATGTTGTCAGAATAGCATGACTGCCTTCATCTGTAGCCAAATAGCACTCCATGGGCTGTGTGAGCCACGGTTTCGAAAAGGCCATCTGTCTGCTGATGCCATAAGTGGTTTCCATGTCCTAGTTGTTGTTAGTAGTGCTTCAGTGAACAGGGGGATGCGGAAATCTCTTTGAGCCACTGTTTTTATTTCCTTTGGATGTAACTACACTGGAAAAAAAAAGACTGTGAGATCATGTGGCTATTTTTTTCCCCAAAGAAGAGGCTTCTGAGAAAGAAATAATTGAGAATATTTAAACTAAAAAAATAAAAGGCATTCTATAAAATATGGCACATTTTGGCTCAAAGTAACTGTATTTTGAAACGATTATCATCTACTTCCAGGCATTGCTGTGCTTTCTAAACCTTGTCAGTTCAGAACTTTGTTCCATTTCCTCGTAGCCTTCATTACTTAGTCGATGGGAAGAGATGGTACTTGATTAGGAAGAGGTATGTTTGGCAGAGGTATAAGTAGTAACCCAACTAAGCATATAAACATCAGGCAAGACATTCTAAAGGTTGTGTAAAGATCATCCAGCAACCTAAGCGCTGCTAAACACTACTGGCCTGCTGCTGTTAGCTGAGAGATAGACATGGCATGACGGGGTACAGATTGGTCCATATGCACCGCAGATGTAAAAGGGTAGAAAATTTCCTACAGATAATGAACTTGCTCCCCGATTGGTGAATGGACATATTTTTGTAAATTAAAGGAAGTCAACCATCTTAGTAGTATTTCACAGTGATTGGCCACTGGGAGACTCCGTCGTGGGGTATCAGAGAGTTCTTACCAGGGATTGGATGTAATTGCTTGGAGAGTTGCTGGAGATTTCCTTAATCAGAATGGAAATAAGGATATGCTGAGGCCTGAGAAGTCTGGTACTTAAGGGAAATTTTCACAGTGTGTCTCTCAGCTGTTGGTGGGTAGAAGACGAGCAGGCTGACGTTGTGGAGCTTGTTGGTTTTTTTTTTTTTCCTCCTCCTTACCTCTGTAGATTTACAGTGTTTTCCACTCCGAGACCTCCTTGCCTGCACTGAGATGGCTGACGCAGAGACTGATCAGGGGCTGAACAAGAAATTAAACTTCTCCTTTTGTGAAGAAGAAGATACTGAGAATGAAGGACAGATGACCACACAAGACATCAGAGGGGCCCAGAGCCAAAATCCTGGGAAGGATGAAAGTGAGGAGTTGGAGGTTCCCATGTCTCCCGCCAGAGATGAACTTTATACTTCTCCGAACAGAAAAAAGGAGATTCCAGGTCCTGCTTTTTGGACATCAGTTTCAGACTTCCCCAAATGTCCAAAGACACCAGTATTATACAGCAAGAGCAAGCTGCCAGTCCCTACCAACTTCTCCACTCCCAAAGTGAGTAAATCCTGGAGAGGAGGGACCAGGTCTCTGGGATCTGTTCTCCTATGGGTCAGCTGATGGGAGAAGAGGGTTTGGTCATTTACATATATGCAATGAACTTGCCTTACAGACTAGATGTATCTTCAGTTCGCTGTTTCTTAGTGGAAACGAAGGCTAGTTTAAAGTTAGCAGGAAACAGAATGAAATATCTACCTGCTTGTTTCCCTCAACCAGTAACTATTTGGTATTGGCTACACATATATCTTAGTTGAAAAGATCTTAAAGAATATTGAAACTTCAAAAGATGCAGAGGTCCAGACATCCTGTGTACTTTGCATATAAAAAAATCAATTCCCAAGAGAGTGGCTGTCTTACCTCGGCCACTGTTATAGAAAAGACTGGATACCTTATCTTTTTTATTTAGTCTACGTTCCTTTCAATTATGCCAGGTGGCTGCACTTCTGGGTAATTGCTTACTAATATTTTTTTAATAGAGGAATGTTCATGTTCACCATCAGTGTACACTCATATCTGCCACTGCTGTTCTCCCCAGCACAGAGTCCCCTCTGCTTTTGGCCAAGTGCAGTATTGGCACCTCTATTATACTTTATCAAAGCAGACCTTCTTTACGAAGTTAAAGCATCAGCAATAAGCAGTGGTTGCTTATAGTTCACATATTACTTATTTCTGCTACATTACATTGCTCATTTATTAAAGGCAGGGCTTGGGGATGGCTACATGTAGTAGATTCTGATGCCATGGTGTGTGATTCCCTAGGATGAATATTAGCTCTACTCTGCCAGCTCAGCTTGAGGTACTTAAGATCATTGAAATATGTGTGATCCTGCTTGCAGACAGTCTCTGTCAGTGGGGCTCTCTAGTGCCTGCTGAGAGCAATAGTATGTCTGACTGGGAATACTAGGCTTCCGGTCTGAACTGTAGCAAAGAGGGTTATAGTATCCATCAGAAGGTATTTCAGTGTTCCAATACCAACCAATAGATTAACAGATTAACCACCTTCTTCTTCTTCTCCTTCTCCTTCTCCTTCTCCTTCTCCTTCTCCTTCTCCTTCTCCTTCTCCTTCTCCTTCTTCTTCTTCTTCTTCTTCTTCTTCTTCTTCTTCTCCTTCTTGACCTCTTCCTCCTCTTCCTCATCTTCCTCCTCTTCCTACTCTTCCTCCTCCTCTTCCTCTTCTTCCTCATCCTCCTCTACCTCCTCTTCCTTTTCTCCCTCCTCCTTCTTCTTCCCCTCCTCCTCTTCCTCCTCTTCCTTTTCTCCCTCCCCCTTCTTCTCCTTCTCCTTTTCCTCCTCCTCCTCCTTTCTCTTCTTCCTCTTCTTCCTCTTCTTTCTCCTCTTTTTCTCTCCATCTCTTGCGAATCTACTGTGGTAATTAACACATGACACAATCTCTGTTTCCAACCAGTTTACAATTCATCAGGAGATGGGCAGGGTAGTATTTAAGAGTTCTCTGTGCAGACTGACTCAGTGGGATGATTAGGGAAGAAGGAAAGGTGAGGAAGCAAGTGAACAGCAATGAGGGTTGGTGCAGTGTTGACAGACGATGAAGAATGGGCTTTGAGTGGAAGTATGCAGGTCAGACATGTGACATGCATGCAAAAGCATTTCATTCATTATATCATCCACAACATGTTCTGTGTTAGCAGACCCTCTGCTAGACGACATCATTTAATTTCTTCAGCAAGTGCCCCCAATTAGAAAGCAACCCAAGCAGAAATAACACTCAGATAATGTGATGTGGAAAAACAGCAGAGTATGAGGAGGAGAAATTTGGAATTAAATTTCTCAACAGTGGGGAAGGGTTTTTTTGTTTTTTTGTTTTTTTGTTTTTAAGGAAATACTATCTGAGAAAATACCTAAGGAATGAACTGGAGTTAGCCAAGTAAAGAGGGGAAGGAGATCCTCAACCAAATGACAGACATCCATTAAGGAAAACTACTTGGTATTCAGTGGAACAGGAGTCTTTTTAAAGAAAGGCAGGGAATGAGATGGGTAGGCAGGAAAGAGAACATTCTATTCTCAAAGTGCTGAATTAACCATTCAATGGCTTTGAGTTTTGAAAAGTCATGGTTTCATGTACTAAGTGGACTAGACCAGAAAGAACCTTGATATGGGGGAGTATTCACCAGGATTTTGTTGGGAGCAGAGAAAGGCCTGAATCAGGAGAGAACAGGCCTTAAGTTGAGTGATGTTTGGGAACTAGCAATAACTGCATGGAGGTGTTGCAGAGAAAAGAGAGATCTGAGATGACTGTGAGCCTTCTTGCTTGATTGAATAGGTAGAATCTTCAATGAAGATGGGGGACACTGAGGATGTACAAGCTTGGGGGATTAAGTCGAATAAATGATTGGCTAAGTAGGACAAAGGGAAAACAACTGAAGTCAGGGATCTCTGCTTGGCCATCTGTGGCATTTAGGAAACCAGTGAGGCCATGGGTCGGGGTAAGGTCACATGGCTTGAGTGCAAGTCTTCATTGTACCATATATTGGTAGCCATTTATAGCCACATCAAAGCCCTGCAAACTTGCGTGATTAGTTTAGACTACATCACTTTTAGAGCTATGGTTGTTTAATGACAATCCACTCAGCATAGTGTAAAACAGTTTCTGGAGGGAGTTATCATCTGTATGAATATATGGAGTGGTCTTCTTCTATTTCTTGGTATATTTACTCATCCTTGGAGATAATATACTTGAATTCCTCTACTGGGCTGAACCACTCTAGAATACCACTGAACTACTCCAGAATATATAGTCTAAGGGACGAGAGACTGTGTGCTTTTAAACATCTATAACCATGTCTGCCACTCATGATACACAGACATGATCATATATATTAAGTTGTGGCTCTGTAAAATGCTGATGGTTGGGGTGAATTTAGTTAAAAATCTTTATAACTCTTCTGCTCTTTCATCTCTACTTCTATGCACTGGTTCCTGGGGCCACTGTTTTAATACAGAACGGCCTATTCCTTTATTTTTTTTTTAATAATCATTTTCAGCCGGGCGGTGGTGGCGCACGCCTTTAATCCCAGCACTTGGGAGGCAGAGACAGGCGGATTTCTGAGTTCGAGGTCAGCCTGATCTACAGAGTGAGTTCCAGGACAGCCAGAGCTATACAGAGAAACCCTGTCTCGAAAAACCAAAAAAAAAAAATAATAATAATCATTTTCCTTTAATTACAAATTTAACATGGTTACACTGTTTCCCTTTCCTATTCCTCGACTCCCCACCTCTGCACCACCTTTCCCTGCCCCTTGTTCTCTCTCAAATTAATGGCTGCTGGCCCCTTTTTCCTTAGCCCAGGCAAAGAACTACAGGCAACTAAAAAGATGCTGCAAAGAAATGGTATTCCCCAGGGAATACCAAGTGGTCAACCCTGAAATCATATACATACTGGCATCATTATAGGACTGAGCACGTTCTATTTATATATTTAGGAATGTATATATGTAGACTATTATTTTTATATCTTTATTTCACTTCATAGGGTTCTTCTCACTCTATGTGGTGTCTTGAGTGAATTTGAGAACTTCAATTTTCATGTTTAGAAAGTCTATGAAATATATCTCTTACAACATTATTAATTCAAACACACTGATGAACTGATTAATAAATGGTGTGTTCACTGAAAGCCAGAATGTATCTCTATACGCATCAGTATCTAATCAAGCACCTGCCACTAAGTAGGTGCCAAACAAATACTGGGATTAATATTTGAGAGAGAGAGAGAGAGAGAGAGAGAGAGAGAGAGAGAGAGAGAGAG